CCGGCAGCATTCCCGGCCCAGGGTGATCCTGAACGGAACATGGAGGAGAGGGAGAGAGAGTGGGGTGAGCTGAGCCCCATTCCTGGGATTCCGATCCCTTCCTGGGATTCCGATCCCTTCCTGGGATCCCTTCCCGGGAATTCCAATCCCTTCCCAAGGATTCCAGTCCCTTCCTAGGATTCTGATCCTTTCCTGGGGATTCGGATCCCTTCCCAGGGATTCCAGTCCTTTCCCAGGATTCCAATCCCTTCCCAGAGATTCTCTTGCCTTCCTGGAGATTCCAATCCCTTCCTGGATTCCAATCCCTTCCCGGGATTCCAGCCCCTTCCTGGGGATTCTGGTCCTTTCCTGGCATTCCAATCCCTTCCCGGGGATTCCCATCCCTTTCCAGAAATTCTGATCCCTTCCCGCATTCCAATCCCTTTCTGAGATTCCAGTCACTTCCCAGGGATTCTGATCCCTTCCCATGGATTCCAATCCTTTCCCAGAGATTCCAATCCCTTCCAGGAGAATCCAATCCCTTCCCATGGATTCCAATCCTTTCCCAGGAATTCCAATCCCTTCCCATGGATTCCGATCCTTTCCTGGGATTCCAATCCCTTCCTGGAGATTCCAATCCCTTCCCAGGAATTCCAATCCTCTTCCGGGGATTCCAAACCCTTCCTGAGGATTCTGGTCCTTTCCCGGGAATTCCAATGCCTTCTCGGGGATTCCCATCCCTTCTCAGGACTGGGGTCTCTTTCTGGGTATTCCTATCCCTTCCCAGTGATTCCCATCCCTTCCCAGGAATTCCAATCCCTTCTCAGGATTCCGGTCTCTTCCTGGGTATTCTGATCCCTTCCCAGTGATTCCCAACCCTTCCCAGGAATTCCAATCCCTTCTCAGGACTGGGGTCTCTTCCTGGGTATTCTGATCCCTTCCCAGTGATTCCAATCCCTCCCTGGGAATTCCGGTCCCTCCAACCCTTCCACGTTGGATTTGGAGCCGTTTCCCCCCGGATCCGTGGCAGGATGAGCTCCCAGGGGACGGAGGGGTTTGGAGCATCCCGGGATCAGCGGGGCCGTGGCAGCCGGGATGCTCCGGGGTCAGCCAGGGCCGATCCTGCATCCCTGAGCATCCCAAACCCTTCTCCCGCTCTCCTGGGGCAGCGGGGCCCTGGGGACAGAGGGGGGGATTGGGGATGGGGGGAGCAGGGATCAGGCTGGGGGTGTCCGTGGCAACCCAAAATCCTGGGCTGGGGGTGTCCATGGGAATCCCAAATTCCGAGTTGGGGTAACCACGGGAATCCCAGATCCCAGTTTGGGGTAACCATGGGAATCCCAGATCCTGGTTTGGAGCGTCTATGGGAACCCCAGATCCCGTTTTTGGGGGGGGTCTGTGAAAATCCCAAATCCTGGGTTGGTGTGTCTGTGAGAATCCGAAATCCTGGTTTGGGGTGTCCATGGGAATCCCAGATCCCAGTTTGGGGTGTCCATGGGAATCCCAGATCCTGTTTTTGGGGTAACCATGGGAATCCCAGATCCCGGTTTGGGGTGTCCATGGAATCCCAGACCCGGTTTTGGGGTGTCCATGGAATCCCAGATCCCATTTTTGGGGTGTCCATGGGAATCCCAGATCCCGGTTTGGGGTATCCATGGGATCCCAGATCCCGTTTTTGGGGCGCTGTGCCCCGCTGACCCCGCCCTGTCCCGCAGCGCTCCTGGTGCAGGGACAGTTCAGCCGCTTCGAGGGCATCACCTACCCCGAGCCAGTGCAGTACTCCCAGTACGACCAGCAGGCAGGTGAGAGCACCGCCCCGCCCCGCCCCGCCCGGCCCTCTCCCGGACAGACAGACAGACAGACAGACAGACACCCACCCCTCTGATCCACACAGACAGACATTCATATCTCTGATCCTGATCCGGACAGACAGATACCCACCCCTCTGATCCGGACAGACAGACACTCATATCTCTGATCCAGACAGACAGACACCCATCCCTCTGATCCAGACAGACAGACACCCACCCCTCTGATCTGGACAGACAGACACTCATATCTCTGATTCTGATCCGGACAGACAGACACCCACCCCTCTGATCCGCACAGACAGACACCCACCCCTCTGATCTGGACAGACAGACACTCATATCTCTGATCCGGACAGACAGACACCCATCCCTCTGATCCAGACAGACAGACACCCATCCCTCTGATCCTGATCTGGACAGACAGACACCCACTCCTCTGATCTGTACAGACAGACACCCATCCCTCTGATCCGCACAGACAGACACTCATATCTCTGATCCGGACAGACAGACACCCATCCCTCTGATCCTGATCCGGACAGACAGACACCCACCCCTCTGATCCGGACAGACAGACACCCATCCCTCTGATCCGCACAGACAGACACTCATATCTCTGATCCAGACAGACAGACACCCATCCCTCTGATCCGCACAGACAGACACTCATATCTCTGATCCAGACAGACAGACACCCATCCCTCTGATCCTGATCCGGACAGACAGACACCCACCCCTCTGATCCGGACAGACAGACATTCATATCTCTGATCTGGACAGACAGACACCCACCCCTCTGATGCCTCCCTCTTGCGCTCCATCCTTTTCCTCAGCCTTCCCAGCTCCTCCCTCTGCTCTCACTGACAAATCATTATTAACCCTTTATCCAATTCTTTATCAACCCTTTATCAATTCCTTATTAACCTTTTATCCAAAACCTTTTTAAACCTTTACTGAATACTTTATT